ACAATTGTGAACGGTGGATCCTTATAGATACCGAGCCTGTGAAACGTTTGTCGGGTTTTCCTGCAGTTAGAACTCTTCCTCAGAGACCTAACCTCTCCAAAGACACAGGAATTTGAGCTGGATGGGTTTGACTGGCTCGTTAGCTTTAACAGTAGTTAGGAGTCAAAGCCGAGAACGGAACTAGAACCCACCTCCCTTATTCCAGGGCTTTTTCCAAATTTCTAGGGAGTGTAAAGCTTATGTTGTGTTCGCTATGTTCAAAAATTCCTCATGAAGAGGCGGAAGGCTGGTACCTCCGAAAACCCCTCTTCAACTTTCAGGCTTTAAAGAAATCAAGCAAGTTGCATGCCCTAATGTGTCCACACCTGGCGAATTAGTTTTAGTCCTCAAAAAAATACTACCAACAAGAAGAATGGAGATTGCCGGTGGTGGCTTATTCTCCGTCGCCAAACTGCCACAGTCCAATCGCACGATGGGGAAATCGGAGATTTCAGTTTTGGACCGGCTAGTTATTGAACGTAAAACTCGATGGTTCAGACTGAAAGTCGAAGGCACAATAGAAGGATCCCATTTGACCTCCAATCAGGAATAATGCATGAACATCGCTCATATGTGATTCTTCGAGTGTCCTCGTCACAGCTGACGTTTTAAACAGTAGAGCTCCAAATGAAAAGAACAACAGAACCCAGGTTCAAATCCCGGGTCTTTTCAACCCGAGATTTTGGGATCACTGGTTGATGACGGCAAATAATTCAAAAGTGGCTGTTTTAATCTCAATATTCTCCGCCGGTACTAACTCTCGGCAGCAGTCGATCGATGGTCGCTAAGCGACCGCCTACAAGGGTTTTAGACTTTAACGTCGAAAAAAACGAAGATCGTAGTCTATCCTGAAATTAGTTCGGATCGGTAGACGGCCTTCTCATGCTGCTGTCTATTTATCTAAAACGGCGTCAGTAGACCACTTTATTGCATTGCTTTTGCCGATCGTGGCAGTGATCTTGGAAGGCATCCTGACTTGTCTGTACCTATTGGTCAGGAGACTGTTTTATTAATGGTAGACGTGTACTCACCGATCGGGTTAATCATCCCCGCAAACGGGTGCACAGCGATTATTAGTATAAGTAGCATAACATTGCCGACAAGGTCAAAGGAGGCTGGAACAGCCGTTTCTGACTTATTACCCATCATCAGCCAGTCAGAACCAACCCTAATACAACCAGTAGGGTACTTGCATTTCAAACGTAAGACTAGGGCAGCGAAGAAGATTATAGCAGACTGCTGCTCCTATTGAAGAGATGAAAATGTGTGCTTATTTGGGCTAGTGAAGGCCTTAGTATAGGTTGGTGTGAATAGGTAAATACCTTTCCAATCCTTGTTACTTCATACTGGAGATCCCGGATGGCCTGGTTCTTCCTCTGCAGAAGCTCCTGAAAGGAAAAATGAGTAAATAGGACGGTGACAATAGCAGCACTGGCGTGGGTTTAATAGCCTCTTTCGAGGAAGAGAGCGTTTAACGGCCCCAACCGTCCTCATGTCCAGTTAGTTTGTTTTCGAGAACCTGTACGTCTTGCCGGCGTCTTAGATGGCCTTGTCCTGTTTTTGTCGGCAGCAACAAGAGCAAAAAGTTAAGTGGATAAAAGAAAAAGGTAAACGTATGTGAGCACTTAGGTGTACCAAATCAAACTCCGTGCCAGGACTGTCCTTGTCAGACAGAAAGACGACTCAGTCCACGAACAGACGAACACAAACGGACCGTTCGGCGAGAAACCAAATTAAAGTGAGCGGTTGTCACTTTATTGCCCCCGAGCTTGCATGAATCTGAAAGCTCAGACGATTACGAAGGCTGTTCTACCGATAGCTTCCTCTTTCTTTTCTACTTCTGCTTTGCAGACAATCAGGTTGTTTAGTATGTCCTTTCGATCTTCCATCTACTGCATTATGGGCTGTTTCCTTGCATCATCCTACATCTCATTTCGTGATGCCAACCTGTTAGCAGTCGCTCCAGTGCCCCCTTCTCCGACGCCACCTTGTCAGTCGATGGCCGCGACAAACGTGTTAACCTGTACGCACTCTGCTAACGCACGGCGACCTCTCAGGCTTGATTTGGGTTGAGTCCTGGCTGCGCGCGCACCTGGAACTATTTTAAGTGCGGTGGCCGATAGAGCAAGGACCACTAGAGCCGACACACCAATCGGACAACACCTGTGTGAACACATTTAAGGCCAAACTAGGCATACACCAAACATTTTATTCACCAGTGTAAGTTTGACTCAAGAGGGATAGTGTTAGACATACTTAGTACGCATACTTATTACACATGCTTTATTGCTATTTCGACTCCACCAGCTTTTCGCTATTCGCTTGCAAACATTTTATTGGAGTATTATTTTTTTCATTTTTTTCTTTTTTATCCATGCATTTTTAGCCACCTTGTTACCAATAGGGAGTTCAAAGGCATTCGCCTATCTTTCTCTCAATAAACTGATACTGATATTCGCCCCAGCTGTAATCGCTCTCTCTCTCCTCTAACTCTTTCTCTCTCTCAGGCATGAATGGACGTGTGCGTTGGTGTGCATGAAAGACTACTATCCGGACCCAGTTTTCCGAAAGGGACTGACAAGAAATTCAGTGCGTACAGTTGGGCGCTTTGATGTGATTGGTTTCATGAGGGTCAAGCGGCAAGCCTCTATCAATTGCTCCAGTGCCCCCTTCCCCATCGCCCCTTGGTGTCTCGACGGCCGTG